ATTATTATTACTGTTATCATCATCAGATTATTATTGCAATGTCTTTGACTGATTTTGGTACCAGAGTAATACCGGCCTTATAAAGCGAGTTGGGAAATGTTTCCTTTACTCGCATTTTCTGGAAAAGTTAGTATAGAATTGCTCTTTTCATCTTTAAGTGTTTGGTAGAATTCATCCATGAAGCCATCTGGGTCTGGAGTTATCTCTGTGGGAATGTTCTAAAGTACAGATTCAACTTCTTTAATAAATAAAGAGGTTTTCAAATTATATACTTCTTCTTGAGTCAGTTTTGGTAATTTGTGTTTTTCAAGGATTTTTTTCCATTTCATCTAAGGTGTCAAATTTATTGGCACAGTTGTTTATAATATCCTATTAGTTTTTTAATGTCTTATCTGTAGAAAAGGTAATGATATCATCACTCATTCCAAATACAGGTAATCTGTGTCTTTTCTCTTTTTCTTTCTGATTAGTATGACTGCAGTTTTACTAAATACACTGGTCTTCTCAAAGAAGCAGCTTACAACTTTGTTTAAAAATCTCAAGTTCACTTTTGTTAGCCATATTCTACAGATTAGAATATAGGCACTGAGGTTACAAGTATTGCTTCTAAGTCTCTTTCTCATTTTTTTTTAATGTGAACACATGTATGTGTAAAGCATTGAGAGCTGTGCACAGCACAAATTAAATGAATAATTAATGAAACGATCTAAGTCTTGGAAATAACCAAGAACTTGTCATTTCATTATTTTCCTCCTACAGTGGAAAAAAAAATTATCTTTAACAGGATAATTTTAAACCAACTATTCGTTTAGTAGGATCTCGGGTGCCTGACTCCTGCCGTTATTTCCTGCATTCTACCCAGGAGCTCTACACCAAATGAAGTAGAGCAATATCCTAAAAGTCCCGCATCTTTTCTCGCGTAGGGCAGCCACCTTGCATTTATGGGCTATGTAGATAGCAATGACTTCAGACAGGAAGATGAAAATGGCACACTCCCTGAAGGTCAGTGATGCTCATACTCGCAGCTGGGATGGGAATCCCAGGTAGAATGATCATCCCCATGTCTTCCCTCTATAGTTAATTTGGCTAATCGCTGAGGTCAAACTGTTTTATCTGTGTCCTTGTCACTTTGCTCCAAGAGTTGTTATTTAAGCTACTTTTTTCTTTCATCGTCTTAATATTTCTCTGGATCTTATTCACCATCCATACAATTTGTATACTATGAACATCTTACCGTTAGTTATCCCTTATTAACACCGTGAAGCGACAGACAATAGGTTGCAAACCCACCTCCCCCACAAAAAATCCCAGAAATAAAAGTAGCAAACCAGCCTTGAATGAACTCGAGTTGATGAAGCGATCCCCTGTTCACTGAGAGAACTCTTCAGCTGTGAACGTCTCAACTGTAGCTGGCAAATGACAGCTGTAAGAGGAGACCTGGCTTGCTAGCAAAATACTACTCACTAAGCTTGCTAAACCTGGAAAACTAAAAACGACTTCTGGTCACCCAAACCATCCATCTAGAACTCTTTGAATCTATACCTGTGTACATACTCTTTGGGCAAGTTAAATGATAATTCAGCTCTAGTATGCTTTTCCAAAGTGGCATCTGGAATATGAGACTGAATCACTGCACAGATCTTTTCGACATCGAACTGTGGTTCCATCTCCATGATGACGTGATATGTAGCACCTGAGAGAAATCATTTAGAAGACCAAATGAAGCAGTTCTGTACTTTTTCATCTGGTAAGACCCACCGTGGCTCTCCATGGCTCAGGTTGCCTAGGTCCACAAGGAAGAAGACACGGTACGTCACAAGACATTTTATTATGACTTTAGGGAGGATCACACCTAAAATTTCCCAATGTTGCTAAAAGAACCAAGACACTGAATAAACAGCGACTTCCTCTATAATTTCAATCATTTTCTTAATGAACGATAACCTAGTGCATAAAACCAGACACAACAGATGGATGCAGAAAGGCCCCCGTTTTCTGGCTACTCAGAATTTTTGAAACTGTAATCTCGATAAACATTCATTTATCGTCATTGGTTGTTCAGCATGTAGCAGGCATTCATTTAGGTCTGGGGACACAGCAGGGAAAAAAGCAGACAAAAATTCCTGTCCTCGTAAAAGCTACTTTCTAGCGAAAGGGGACAGATAATAATGATGAGGAATAAGTTAAAATGTATACTGTGTTAGAAAAAATAAAGTGGAGAGAGGAGATATGAAATGTTGAAGGAAGGTTGTTAAATTTTAGAAAGCCTGAGAATATACTTATTGATTACAGACCTTAAAGAAATCAGAGAACTACTGTACTTACTTAGAGTTTGCCTATATGAAGAAATTATTTTCAGGAATTAAAGGAAAAAATCATTGATTTTAAATATCTGCATTTCAAGTGGTCACTGTATTTGCATTTATGTTTCTTAGTAAGATTTGAATCATAGGTCTTATGTATAGGTCTTCTTAGCTGAGAATTCGGTTTATTTGCCTGGCTTATTATGGTAGACATGACACTTTATTCTATTTTACAAATGAGGCTACAGACATCCGGAGAATAGAGTGACTTATCTATTATTTACTAGCTATGGGAACCAAAACTATCTTTGGATTATTTACAAAATAATACTGTTTTTCATTTCTCAGGCGTCATGACAAAATAAGCTTCTCAGTTATCTTGTCCTTCTAAGATTCAATAAAAAATGCCTTTGGAGAGCTGAATGCTGATAGCAACACGGAATGTCCTGTGCCATCAAAGAAGCAAACACAAATCCTAGGCTTCTGACAAAAATGTAAAAAATCCAGGTAAAGCATATTTAAAGTTTAGCATCTATAAGAGAAATGAATATCCCCAAACCTTATACCTTTTAAAATATCTAGCTATACTAATTATTTTACCAATAATTAGTAAAATTAGTGAATAAAATTAGAATTTATTTATTTATTTATTAGATCATGTGGCTCATAACCCAGGTGCATCTAATTCAGATGGAATAAATCAAATTTTGGATGTAGAACCCCTTACAAGTTAGTTGTCCAAATTCGACCCTGGAAGGTGATCGTAAACTTTGAACAACTAAATGATTAGATAAATATAACTTTGGATACATTTTTGATATATCTAAACCCCAGTTTTGTATCTATAAAAGGGATATTGTTTTGAATTAAAAATGATGTATAAAGTGGATACCACAGTAACTACTGTAAAGGAAAACATTAATGTGAGTTAAATAATCTCAAATACTGAATAAATGAATGATGAAGCAAGTCATCCTTAGTTATCTCCACTGACATTTACGATCTCCAATTCTGGATTCCAATTACTATAATTTTAGCCCTCAATAATTCACTGTTTGATGTACCAGTTTTATCTCCCAGAAAAGCCACATACTTATCAAAGTTGAAGACTGTTTTATTCCACTTACATAATTCTCATTCTGCACTGCATCCTTAGTGTCAACTGCCATATGTTAAAGTTACCTCATCACACTAGAAATTTGATTTGACAAACAAGAAACTAGGAACAGAGGTGACTGATTTCTCTACTTCCTCTCTGCATCGACCAGTCAATTACTCAATAAAATGAATCTTTTTGGAGGCACAACTGCTTTCTAGGGGCAAAATAGGAGAAATAAGCGTGGTCTTTGTAGGTTGATATAAGTACTTCCTGAGTCTGAAGATATGTGGTGGATACTGATAAGTATATATAGGGAATATCCAGATTGCAAAGGCCCTTAAAAACCAATTGGAATAGTTGAGACCTAATTACTAGGACAGAGGGAGTCAATGAAGTTTGCAGTAACAGACAAAATATAACTAAAATCATGTTAGAATATTATTAAGGCAGCAAAGGGAGAGAGACCAGATATTTGTTTCAGGAAGACTGAAGAGCCACAGCATTGCAAGGTTCCCTTGACAATGATGGCTATGCGGTCACCCAGAATGTCAGCCTCTTCCATGCGGTGGGTGGTCAGTAGGATGGTCCGATCCCGTTTATACCGGTGAAGCACGTCCCAGGTGGCTCTCCTTGAGGCTGGGTCCATGCCAGACATTGGCTCATCAAGTATCATCACCTAAAGGCCAGAAGAACAATTCCATGACCAGTGATAATTAAAGCCATACTACCTGTGGGATAATTATTTGAGGGGGAATATATTTAAGCTAAGATATAAAACCTAGACTAAAAATTGTAAAAAATGGTAAAAACTCTAGAAAAAATAACCCCAAATCATATAACAGCTGATCCAATCATGTAGATTTCCTCTGATTATCATTGGTAACATTCCTTTAAGATTTATATCCAGTATCAGGTTTTTGTCAGCTGGGTATTCTGGACAAGCTGGCAGGAACCCATTTTTGAGTGCACACGTGTGCCCCTCCCTCCCTTCCTTGCCCCCATCTCCTCTTTATTTCTCTCTCTCTCTCTGTCTCTCTCTCTCTCACACACACACACAAACACGCGCGCACGCACAATTCTCTCTTCTTTAGTACCTTGGAGCCTCCTATAAGTGCTATCATGACGGAGAGTTTGCGCTTCGTTCCTGCGCTGAGTAACTTTGAGTACACATTACGCTTTTCTAGCAGGTTAAAAATAGACAGCATATTGTCGATTTCCACAGGGTCTAACTTTTGACATTTCCTTTTTACCTAGAAAGAAGAGCCAGAATTTACATGATGTGTCCAACTTTATCCTCAGGAAGTTCTTAGATCATAACTTCTACTATATCCATAAACGAAGTTTCTTACAACTACATCTTTAAAACATTTTATATCAGCTCTTTGCTTATACCACCTACGTAGTCTCTTATCCACTGCCTCCTTATCCACTACCTCCTCTAAAGGAGAGTTCCTCAAAATGAATTTTCACAATTTTTAAAGATACCTGGAACTCATGCACAAAGGGAAAACGGAAACATCTCTAGCTTCCAGGTATGATGGAGTAAACACACACACAGCTTTACCTCCCACGCAGCGTAATCATTAAATCTAGAGAACTACAAAAAGTAAACCCCAGCGGTTGGATGGAGAACACCAGAACTTGAAACGGCATCGAACTGGTGTTGACTTTATCACTTTTTCCCTCCCGCGCTCTCCAGCCCAGACTCAGAGCAATCCAAAGGGTGGCAGTGCGCACTGAAGCGCAGACAGAATGAGGCTCAGGAGACACCCGCCGCTTCTGGCTTGAGGGGTGGAAAGGGAAACTTCTAGAGCTCTGGCGGAGTGTGGGAGGGGCAATCCCATTTTTTCCTGCTCTCTTGTGGGAAATCTTATGGGAAGGATGGTGGCGAGAGGAGAAGAGAATGGGACTCCTCCATGACCCAGAACTCGGAGGGAGGTGAGCTTTCTCAGTCCAGCGGTGCCGCAGCTCCAAGAGGACAGGGCCGAGACCCGATTGCTTTTCACCACTCTGTCTGTCTCCTGCCGCTTGGATGTGGCGCGATCGTGAAAGTGGGTGATTTCTGGGGAATCCTGGGGAACCAGAACATACTGGGGAGCTCACAGGAGAGAGGAGCATGCAAGTGATACTGTCAAGTTGTTTATGAACTCATGTGTTTATCATCTGCATACGTGAATATAACCCTAATAGAATATCAAACAGTAAAAATTACGCTAATGAGCAGACCTCTACCCACGTATGAGCTGGCCAATGGGTAACACATACACCAAAGAGACTGAAATAGCACCACAAAGACTGAAATTGGCATGGGAGCCACAGCCCGCAGATAAGACATAAACAGACCTAGGGTCTCCTGAGGTATTGTTGAAAACATCAGGATAAAAACAAAAATCACTTGGTGCATAAAGAGTGACAAAAATCTCATCTCATGTAGGAAAAGACAATCAATAGACATCAACGATAGGATGGCACAGATGTTGGAATTAACATAGAAAGTATCATCAAGATACAAATGATATAAAGAAACTAATGGAAATTTTAGAACTAAAAAATCAATAACAAAAATAAAAAGCTCATTTGATATATGCAGTAGTAAAACAGAAATGATGAAGGGCCAGTTAATTTGAAGACAGATCAATGGAAATGATCCAATCTGAACAACAGAAAGAAAAATGATTAAAGAAAAATGAACAAAGCCCGGAAGACTTTTTGGACAACAACAAATTGTCGTCTAACACTCATGTCATAAAAGTTCCAGAAGGAGAAAAAGAGTATGTGGCTGAAATACTACTTGAAGAAATAATGACTGAAAACCTTCCAAGTTTGGCAAAAGACACAACCCTACAGACTGAAGAAGCTGCCTGAACCTGATCCAGACAGACTCAAAGAAATCCACATCAGACAAATCATAACCACATTGCTGAAATGTAAAGACAAAGAAAAAATGTTGAGAGCATCCAGAGAAAAACGATGAATTAACTATAGGGACACTTCAGATGACTTTAGATTTCTCATTGTAAACCATGGTGTACAGAAAGCAGTAGAAAAACATTTTTAAGTGCCGAAGGAAAAGAACTGTTAACCCACATTTCTACGTCAAGCAAAAACATCCTTGAGGAATGTTGGCGTATTAAAGATACTCTCAGGTGAAGGAAAACTAAGACTCTGTAGCCAAGAGTACGGATATAAATGAAATGATACAGAAAGTTTTTCAAACAGAAGAGAAATGACAGAGGAAACATGAATGATAAAGTACAACAGAAAGGGTAAATATAATACCTATTACTTTCCTATGGTTCTTTAAATATGCTAGATGGTTTTAAGTGAAAACTATAATCTTGTCTGATGGCTTCAATATAAGTAGTGTAGTATACGATACCTATGGCATAAAGGGATCAGGAGAGAGGATCTACAATGTGGTTCTCTCTACATCCCAAATAAAGCTGGAAAACATTGATTCCAAAAAACTGTGAAAAGCTAAGTCTGTATTTTGTAATCACTAAAGCGACTGATAAAAATGTTCTTAACAGATATAGTAAAAATCACAATAGACAAATTAAAATGGAATACTAAAAATATGTTCAAATAACCCCAAAGAAGACTAGAAAGAGGAAACAGAAAAAAAAAGCCGTGAGAACAAACAAAACAAATAATAAAATGATACATTTAAATCTAAATATATCAATAATTACATTAAAAAGAAATAGTTTAAAACAGCAATTAAAAGACAAAGACTGTCAGACTATAAAAATCATGACCTAACTATACAATGTCTACAAAAAACTCACTTCAAACTTAATGATACAGGTAGGTTTAAAGTGAAGTGTTTGAAGAAGATATACCATGCAAACACAAATCACGAGAAAGCTGGAATGGTTATGTTAATATCAGATAAAGTTGACTTCAGAGCAAAGAAAATTATCAGAGACAAAAGAGAAATTACATGCTGATAAGAGAGTCATTTCACGAAGAAGACATAACAATCTTAGACATGCATACGCCTAACAACAGAACACCGAAAACAAGAACGAACAGAACTGGAAATAGAAAAACATATGACAACAGTAAATTCAACACTTCTCAGTCAGTCACAGAGCTACGAGACAGAAATGAGCAAACATAGAGAAGAACGAAACAACAACATCAAGTTACTGAGTTTAATTGATGTTTATAGAGAATTCTAACGAAACAGCAGAAAACATGTTCTTCTCAAGTGCATACTGAACAGTCACCAAGATAGACCACGTTCTTGGTGATAAAACCTTGGCAATTTAAAAACATTTGAAATCAGACAAAGTATGATCTCTGACTGAAAGTGAAATAAGTCAGGCAGAAAAAGCTGAGAACCATAGGATGGCACTCGCATGTGGGAACTGAAAGCAACAAATGAACAAGACAGAGACTCATGGCCACGGACAATAGTTTATTGGTTATCAGAGGGAAAAGGGGATCAAATATATAGAAGGAAATTGAACTTTGCGTGGTGAACACACAATGCAATATACACGTGATATACTATTGAATTGTACATTTGAAACCTATATAATTTTATTAACTTCTGTCACCCCTATAAATTTAATAAAAAAATTAAAAGGTGAGTAGATATACACAGCTACACTTAATAAAAAAAAAACCAAAATGTAAAAAAAAAAAAAGAATTAAAAATAACAGATAAAAACAGGACAACTTTCCATCATTTAGACATTTAAAAACATACTTGTAAATGGTCTGAGTCACAGAAGAAGTCTCAAGGAATATAGGAAACATTTGAACTAAATAAAAAGGAAAATATAACATATATCAACATTTGTGGGGTGCTTAGAGAAAAAAATCATAGCAATAAATGCTTACGTTAGAAAGAAGAAATGCCTCAATACAATTATCTAAGCTCTGACCTTAAAAACAAGAAAAAGAGGAAAAAAAACCCAAATGATGAAGAAGGAAGAATATAATATATAAGCATGAATAAGTGAAATAAAAAACCAAAATGTAAAAGAGAAAAATCAATGAAACTAAAACCTGGTTCTTTGAAAAGATCATGAAAATTGATAAACTTCTAGCAATAATGACAGAGAAAATGAGAAATACAACTTAACCAATATCAGAAGGAAGAGAATATCATTATAGACTCCAGACAGGAGGAATACTACGAATGGCTCTATATACACAGCCATCAACTTAGATGAAATAGAGTAATTCTTCAAAAATCACAAAATACTATAGTTAACCTAATATGACATAACCAGAATATTCCTATAACTATTAAATACATTGAATTTTTTCCACTTTTACTGAGATATAACTGACAATCAAAAATTATAAATATTTAAGGCGTACAATGCAATACATACATGTATATACGTGTGTGTAGATATATATTTTTGAAATTATTGCCAAAATCAAGGTAATTAACATATTCATCATCTCAAGTAGTTTCCATTTTTATTTTTTTCAGTATACAATACAGTATGGTTAACTACAGCCTCGTTGTAAATTAGATCTCCAGAAATTACTCATTTTGAGTAACTGCTACTTTGTACCCCTTGACCAACATCTCCCCATTTCCTTCATCACCCTCAGCCCCTGGCTACTATTATTCTGTTCTCTGCTTGACTATTTTAGGTTTCACACATAAGTGAGATCATACAGTATTTGTCATTCTGTGTCTGCCTTATTTCACTTAGCATGATGTCCTCTACGTTGTCACAAATGTCAAGATTTCCTTCTTTTTTTTAAAGGCTGAATAATATTCCAAATATATGTGTATGTATACACGTACACACAAACGCACGCAGACACCCACCACATTTTCTTTATCCATTCATCTGTTGAACACATGAATATCTTGGCTATTGTGAATAATGCCAAAATGAAAATGGGAGTGCGGATCTCTCTTTGAGATCCCAATTTCGTTTCCTTTGGATATATACCCAGAAATGGGATTGCTGGACCACAGAGTAATTTTAAATAAATTGAGTTTATAATTTAAAATGTCAAAGAATAAATCTCCAGGTTCAGATGGTTTTACTAGTGAACTTTACCTAACATTAAAAAAAAGTTAATTAAAATTTTAATTAAATAAAATAACATAAATTAAACAATTCTACACAATTTCTTCCAGAAAACAGAACAGAAGAGAATACTACTCTCATACTAAAACCAGAGACAAAACAAAAAGCGGACACTACAGGCTAATGATGTAAGTTCTGAACAAAATATGAAACCAAATTCAGTCATGTATTAAAAAAACCCATGACTGAGTGAGATTTGCGCTACTAATATAAGGCTGGTCCAATGTCTGAAAATCAGTTGATGTGATCCACCACGCCAAGAGTCTACAGAAAAGCCACACAGTCACTAATAGATGCAGAAAGAGCCTCTGACCAAATGCAACATTCGTTTATAATCAATACTCTCAGCAAACTAAGAATAAAAAGGAACTTCCCTAAAGTGATAAAGGACATCTACAAAACAATTTTAATTGTGAAGGACCAAATGCTTTCTCTCTAAAATCAGGAGCAAGTTAAGAATGCCCACTCTCAATAATCATATCCAACATCATAGCTTTCTTAGCCAGTGCAAGAAAAAGAGATAAAAGGCACCCATATTGGCATGTAAAAAAGAAACCGTCCCTACTCTTCAATGACATGATTGTCTATGTATAAAACCAAAGAATCTTAAAAAAAAAGTCCTAAACCTAATAAGTGAGCTTAGCAAGGTCAGAGGATAAATTGACTCACAAATAATCATTTTTCTATGTATGAGCAATGAATAACTGGGAAAAAAATTTAAAGCTCCAAATAATTATATGTATACACACACACACACACACATACACACACACATATATAATTACTATATATCTATGAACAAGTATTGAACTTGTATACTGAGAACTGAAAATGGTGATACAGAAAATCAAAGACCTAAATTAATGGAGAGTAATACTGTGTTGAAGAATCTGAAGTCTCAGCACAGGAACAACATTAACTCTCTCCAAAGTGATACACAGAGTTAATGTAATACCAATCAAAATCACAGCAGAACTTTTGTAGATACATAAAAAATAATAAAAAATTTATTTGGATGGGCCACACAGCTTTAATAGTTAAAACACTTCTGATAAAGGATATAACTGGATGAATAGCACTAGCCTATGTTAAGACTTACTGTAAAGCCACACTAATCAGGACAGGGCGGTACTTGCAAAGATTCCAAAGATCAATGGAACAGAAAAGAAAGTTCAGAAATAAGCTCACAGAAATATGACCATTTGATTTTTGACAAATGTGCAAAAAGCAATTCAAAGATGAAAAAATAGTATTTTCAAAAAAAGGTGTTAGAACAATTGGTCATCTACATGCAAGAAAATGAACCTAGCACTGAGTTTTATACCTTTACACAGACTAACTAAAAATGGATCACAGATCTAAGTATAACATGTAAAACTACAAACATTTAGAAGAAAATACAGAATAAAATCTTCATGTCCTGGGGTTAGGCACAGAGTTCTGGAACACACAGCAAAGGCAAGATCCATTAAGAAAAATATGATAAATTAGATTTCGATATTAAATCTTTTGTTCTGCAAAAGATATTGTCAAGAAAATGAAAAGACAAGGTATATTTAGGGAGAAATATTTGCAAAGCACATATCAAACAAAGGACATATGCCCAGAATGTATAAAGAACTCTTAAAAATTCAGTAAGAAATGAATAACCCAAATTAAAAAATGGACAGATGGGGCTTGAACAAATATTTTATCAAAGAGGGTATACAAATAGCAAATTAGCACATGAGAGCTGATCGATGTCATTAGTCATTCATGAAATGCAGATTAGAACCATGATTAGACACACATATGCGTCTACTAGAATGGTTTAAAAAAATTGAAATATTAACGATACCAAATTTCTGGCAAGAATGTAGAGCGACCCGCATTGCTGGCAAGAGCGCAAAATGACATCGCCTCTCTAGGAAGTGGTTTGACCGCTTCTGAGAAAGTTAAACCAACACTTATAATACGGCGCTCCTACTCTGAGAGAAATGAAAACTTCTATTTATACCCCGAAAAGCCATACAGGAAATTCAGCTTTATTCATACTCACCAAACCTGGAAACAGTCCACATGCCCTTCGGTGTACCGTGTCACATCCGGACATGAACAACTGCTCGGCAACGAAAAGAAATGTGCCAGCGACCGCACAGCAGCGCGGGACGATCTCAGAGGAACCGCGCTCTGTGTAAGTGGCTGATCTCTAAACTTGTTACCGTGTGATCCTGTTATGTGAGTTCTCAACAAGAAGAAACAATAGTGATGAAAGGCAGGCGGGTGGCTACCGGGGGAAAGAGGGGTGACTCCAAACAGACTGCACGAGGGAGTGTTTTAGGGTGATCGAACTGTTCTGTGTCTTGACTGTAGTGTTTTGGATGTTCTAAAATTCATAGATCTTTATATAAAAAGAAAAAAAGTTAACCTTACTACATAATTTAAAAAAATCGCTGACTTACCACAGAGTAGAAATAAAGGTGCTCAGATAGTGTCAAGTCATTAAACAACAAGTCTTCCTGCGGACAGAAGCCCAAGTTTGTTCGAATGTGGACCATGTTCTTTGAGATGTCATAGCCATTTATATAGGCCTCTCCTTTGGTCGGGAGGTAACTGCCTACGAGCAAGCAGAAAACATGATGAAGCTGAGCCTCGGTCAGAGAACAGGGTAAGACTGCCAATCAGCATCTCAAATTCAGTCTACCTGTGGGTCACTCAAAAAAATGAGCACCATCTCCTGCACAAGAACAGTTAGGAAAAACATCCAGTTACATCTGGGTGGTGGGATTAGCTATCTTCAAACTTTCTTTCCTTTTCTTTTTGCTTGAATATACTAAGTTTCTGCAATGGTCTGGACTATACTGGTAATAAAAACATTAAGTAATTTGTTATACTTCAATATACTTGCGTTGCAATCAGTTGGTTATTATATTTGTGGACCATATTAGGTATTGTGTAGATGCCATGAGAAATATAAAGATCCGGAATGTAAAACTTTTGTTCTCAAGAAATTTAAATATTAATAATAACCAGTCCAGATTTTGTGGGGAACTATTTGGTAATATTTAAAAAGTAAGTTATAAAACCACTTAAACCTTATGACTCATTTATCCGATTTTAAAATATATTCTTTTTAAAATTGAGATATAGTTGACATATAACGTTATATTACTTTCAAGTATACAACATAAAGATTAGATATTTGTATCTATTGTGAAATGACTACCACAATAAGCATAGTTAACATCCATTACCATATACAGTTACAAATTTTTTCTTGTGATGAGAACTTTAAAAAAATTTACTTTTAGCAACTTTCAAATACATAGTACAGTACAGCTTCCATGCTGTACATGACATCCCTTTAACTTCTTTATAACTAAAAGTTTGTATCTTTTGAGTCCCTTGACCCTTTTAGCCCAGCCCCCGCCCCAACCTCTGGCAAACACCAACTTCTCTTTATCTATGAGTTCGAATTTTTAAATTAAAAAAAAATTTTAAATAAAAAAAAATTTTTTAATTCTACATATATGTGAGATCATACAGTATTTGTCTTTTTCTCTCAGACATTTCGCTTAGCATAATGCTCTCAAGGTCCATCCATGTCACAAATGGCAGGATTTCCTTTTTCTTTATGGCATGTATGTATGTATGTATTTATGTATGTGTATATATATATATGAGATATATATATCTCAATGTAATAAAATAGCCCATAATATCTCAATGTAATAAAATAGTCCACAATATCTCAATGTAATAAAATAGCCTAGAAATAAACCCACACCTATATAGTCCATCGGTCTGATAAAGAAGACAAGAATATACCACGTATATTGTAAAGAGACGGTAAAGACAGCCTCTTTGATAAGTCAGTCTCTTCAATAAATGGTGGAGAAATTGGACAGACACAAGTAAAAAAAATGAAACTAGACTACTTTATCATATACAAAAATTAACTCAAAGTAGATTAAAGACTTAAATTTAAGACCTGAAACCACAAAACTCCTAGAATAAAACACAGGCTGTAAACTCTTTAGCATTAGGTTTAGCAGCATCTTTCTGGATATGTCTCTATGGGCAAAGGCAACAAAAGAAACAAAAGAAATGAATGGGACTCCATCAAACTAAAAAGCTCTACACGGTGAAGAAACCATTAACAAAATGAAAGATAGCCTGCCAACTGGGAGAGGATAGTCACAAATTACACATCTAATAAGGGGTTAAGACCCAAAATATAGAAAGAACACAGACCATTTAACAGCAGAGAAACAAACAAGTTTAAAAAGGGGCAGAGGACCTGAACAGACATTTCTCCTAAGAGGACATACAGATGGCAAATGACATATGAAAAGATGCTCAAGGTCACCAATGAGACAAATGCAAATTAAAACCACAATGATATCATCTCGCACCTGTCAGAATGGCTATCATCAATAAATCAACAAACAACATCAAGGAAGATAAAGGAAGAAATCAAAAGATACTTTGAGACAAATGAAAACACAATGACTCCAAATCTGTGGGACACACAGAAAGCAGACTGAAGAGGGAAATTCATAGCAATATGGGCTTACCTCAGGAAACGAGAAATGTCTCCAAAACAATCTAACCTTATACTTAAAAGAATAGGAAAAGAAGAACAAAGAAGAACAGAAATACGACGAATCATTAATGAATACTTAGAACAAATACAGGCCAACAAATTCAACAATCTATAAGAAATGGATCAATTTCTAGAAGCATGTCACCTTCTAAGACTAAAACAAGAAGACACAGAAAATCTAAACAGACCAATTACTACTAATGAAATTGAAGCAGTCATCAACAAACTCCCTACAAATAAAAGTCCAGAATCAAATGTTTCAAAGGTGAATTCTACCAAACATTTAAAGAATGAATACCTATACTTCTTAAACTATTTCCAAAAATTGAAGGCGGAACTCTTCCAAACTCATTTTACAAAACGAGCATTGTCCTGATACCTACACCAAACAAGCATCTTAGGAAAAAAGAAAACTACAGGTCAGTATTCTTGATGAACATGCATGCCACACTTCTCAACAAAATACTGGCACACTGGATTCAGCAATACGTTATAGGATTACACTCTATGATCAAGTGAGATGTATTGCAGGAATACAAGGATGGTTCAACATCCATAAACCAATCAATGCGATACATCAAAGAACGAAGGATAAAAATCGTATCTCAGAAAAAGCTCAACATCCTTGACAAAAAACATCCTTTTATGATAGAAACTCACAACAAAGTGGGTATAGAGGACATACCTTAATGTAATAAAGGCTATATATGACAAACCCACAGCTGACATCTTCAATCATGAAAACCTGACTTTCCTCTAAGATCATGAACAAGACAAGTATGCCCACAATCAGCACTTCTATTTCACATAGTACTGGGAGTCCTAGCCACAGCAGAACAGAAGAAATCAAAGACATCAAAATCATAAAAGAAGAATATAGCTACTATTTGCAGATGACGTGACACTACACAGAGGATACCCTAAAGACTCCACTGAAAAAACTATTGGAACTGATCAATGAATTCACTAATTTGCAGGATACAAAATCGATAGACAGAGACCTGTTGCATTTCTCTACACCAATAAGAAACTTTCAGAAGGAGAAGTTAAAACAATCCCATTTACAGTTGCTTCAAAAAGCATAAAATACTTAGGAATAAATTTAAAACGGTGAAAGACCTGAACCCTGAAAACTGTTAAGACACTGAAGACATTGAAGAGGATCCAAAGAAATGGAAGGATATACCATGCTCGTCAATTGCAAGGATTAATATTGTTAAAATGTCCTCACCACTCAAAGCTACATACAGATTCAGTGCAGTTCCTACAAAATAGCGATAGCCTTCTTCTCAGAACTAGAACAACTAATCCTAAAATTTATATGGAACCACAAAAGGCCCTGAATAGCCAAGGAAATCTCAAGAAAAAAAAGAAAGAATGAGGTATCACACTCCCTAATTTCAAACTACACGACAAAACTACAATCATCAAAATAATGTGGTAATGGCATAAAAACAGATATACATATATATTTCTGGGCTATTTTATTACACTGAGATATATATGTATCTCAACTCTTTCATCCACTCGTTCATTGATGAGAATGTGCACTTCTAACACATTCCAAGGTGATGCTGATGATGCTGCTGGTCAGAGGACCAGACTTTGAGAACCACTGAGTTAGGGTAAAGGCTAAATTGCTATATAAAACAGGCTCTGAAGGAGCTAAAAGAGAAATTCTGCATACAAGATGATCCCAAGGGGAACAATTCAGGTAGGCAGGAAGATCAGCTCCACATTTCCTTAATCCGTTCATCCATCGAAGGGCACTCGGGGTGCACTTCTATGTCTTGGCTATTGTAAATAATGCAAAACAAACAAGGGGGTGCAGATATCTTCCCAAGTGAGTGTTTTCATTTCCTTCGGGTAAATCCCCAGAAGTGAACGTGCTGGAGGTCACATGGCGGCTCTAGTTTTAATATTTTCAGGACCCTCCATACAGTTTACCATAGCAGCTGCACCAACTGACATTCTCACCCACAGTGAATAAGGGGGTCTCTTCGCATCCTCGCCAACACTTGTTATCTCTTGTATTTCTGATAGCAGCCACTCCACCAGCTGTGAGGTGATATTACATTGTGGTTTTCATTTGCATATCCCTGATAAGTGATGCTGAGCACCTCTTCGTGTACCTGTTGGTCATCTGCATGTCTTCTTTGGAAAATATGTGTATTTATCCTCTGCGCATTTCTTTCTTCTTTTAAAAATATTTTGCCACATTTGTTTGATTGTTCTCTCTCTGCATACACATCGTCACACATTTCCATGAGTCACTCGGGCGTAGCAGCTCTAGAGAAGATGGTCTAGAAGGACGAATGGAACCTTCCAAGTGAACGAGAAGGAAATGTCTCAAAATAGCTTTTACATTCTCTCCTTTTCTCTGCTTTCCTCCAGTCTTCCTTCTTCCAAGTTAAGGTTCTCCACTTCCTTGAACTCTTCCTTCTCCTGAACTGCTTTGAGTCCTTTCTCTCCCTAGCTGTTGGCTTCTAGTTGCATTTCCAATTATTGGTCATCTTAGAATAGTGTGTCTAGAACATCGAATAGGCCAGATGTGGCTGGTCTGACCAGGAGAACCTGGTGCTATTCCCCATTTGCTCATCTGTTTTTCCATTTATTCAGTCAGTTGATCAGTACAGCCTTATTGAAGGTTTCCACTTGCAAGGCAGATCTGCCTATGCTCCTCTGCCCATTATATATACATACATACATACATATATACATA